TCATTAGACCCCCTCTCATTAGACCCTCGCTCTCTCTCCCTTGGACACTCCCCCTCTTCCATTAGACTCCCCTCCTCTCATTAGACCCTCACCCCCTCTCTCAATTAGACTCCCTCCCCTTCTCTCATTAGAATCCCCCTCCTCCTCTCCCTTTCTCATTAGAGCCCTTCCCTCTTTCCCATTGACCCCCTCCCCTCCTCCCACTTAAACCTCCCCCCTTCATTAGACCCCCTCCCCTTTCCCATTAGACCTCATCACCCCCCTCTCTCATTAGACGACTCCTCCTCAACCCCCATCCTCATCATTAGAACCACCTCACCCCCTCCTCATTAGACTCGCCTTCGCCCCTTCTCCATTAGACCCACTCCCCCTCTCGCCCTTCTCATTCAGACTGCCTCTCCCACCTCTTTCCCATTAGACTACCCTCCCCTTCCCCCTACCTCATTAGACCTCCGCCCCCCCTCTCATTCAGACCTCCTTCCCTCTCATTAACCCTCCACCTACACCCTCTCCCATATAGACTCCCCCTTCTCACCCTTTCCCATTAGACCGCCTCCCCCTCTCCCATTAAACCGTTCCCCCCTCTCCTATTATAGACCGCTCACCCCTCTCCAATTATAGACCCTCACCCCCCTTTCCCCATTAGACCCTACTCACCCCCTCTCGCTCAATTAGACCCTCTCCCCCCCTCTCTTCATTAGACCCATCACCCCTTACTCTCTCCATTAAGACCACCACTCCCCATCTCTTCATTAGACCCCTCCTCCCTGTCGCCTCATTCCTGCATTTAGAATCACTCCTAGCCCTCTCCCTTTCCCTTCTCCTCATATAGTAAGCCTCTCAAACCCACTCTCCCATTAGGACCCCCTTCAACCCCTCTCTCATTAGAACCCCTCCCCCCTCGTCTCATTAAGACCCCCTCCCCCTCTCTCATTAGACCCCCCTCCCGCCCTCTCTCCATTGAGACTCCCTCCCCCTTCTCCCATAAGATCTCACCCCTCCCCTCTTCCTTTCTCAAGTTAAGACCACACTCTCCCTTTTTTCCATTAAGACCCTCCCCCTCTCCCAATTAAACCCCTCCCAGCCTCGTCATTAGACCTCCGCCAGTCCACCCCCTCTCTTCATTAGACGCCCTCTCCCTCTCTATTATGACCCCCACTCCCCTCTCGCCTATTTAGACCCCCTCCCCCCTTTCCCATTAGAGCCCCTCCCCTTTCCACCATTAGACTTCTCGCTCCCCCCCTCATTCCATTGAGACCCTCTTTCTACTTTCCCTCCCTCATTCATTAGAGCGCCCTCACCCCTCTCTCTCATTAGACCCCTCCCCCCCCTTCCAATTAGACCACCTCCTCTCCCCTTTCCCAATTAGCACCCTCCCCTCCCCCCCCTTCCTCATTAGACCGCCTCCCTCTCATTAGTCCCGCCACCACCTCTTCTCTACCATTTATGATACCCCCCCTCTCTCCCCTTTCCCATTAGACATCCCTCACCCCTCCCCCCCCTCTCCCATCTCATTACTGCTTTACGTCTCGCAAAGCTAATTCATCGTCGGCGGTTTGAGGTCCTGAGTCTGGCACTCTGGCCTTTCTTTTCACTCTTATCAACCGTCTCTCGTTCCTTCCTACTGCTATTTCTTCATTCGCTAACTGGTTATTTTGCATCTTCCCTTTCTTCTTCGCCTTTATTTCCATCATTCTTCGTCCTCGCTATTTCCCCGTTTGCTTTCTGATTATTTCGCATCTTCTCTTTCTTCTTCTTTATCACGATCTTTCTTCGTTCTCGCTATCTCTTCATTCGCTTCCCGGTTATCTCGCATCTTCCCTTTCATCTTCACTTTTATCACCAACTATCTTCGTCCTCTCTATTTCCCCGTTCGCTTCCCGGTAATTTCGCATCTTCCCTTTCTTCTTCTTTATCACCATCTTTCTTCTTCATATTTCCCCGTTTGCTTCCCGGTTATCTCGCATCTTCTCTCTCTTCTTCATCTTTCTCCGTCCTCTCTATCTCCTCATTTACTCCTCGTTTATCTCCATCGTGTTTATCACCAATGTTACCATCATCATCAGCGCTTCAGGGACTCCCATAGCGACTGGTCCGGCGTCTCTCGCGTGCTGGGGACTTCATTTTTTTGCTGTTGTTTTTATCTTGTTTTTCTCTTCGGTCCTTTTGTTTCTTCTATCTCCTCGACTTCTTTCTCTTTCCTCTCTCTCCTCTCTCTCTCTCTCTCTCTCTCTCTCTCTCTCTCTCTCTCTCTCTCTCTCTCTCTCTCTCTCTTCTCTCTCTCTCTCTCTCTCTCTCTCTCTCTCTGTCTCTCTAAGTCTTTCTTCGTAATCTTCTTGGTTTAAAGTTCTTCCACTTATTTCTCGAATTTGGGTGTTTCATTTTATGCAGCAGGGAATTAATTATATGTAGGAAATTATAAAACATGTTTCCTTCTTATTATTTTTTTCTTTTTTTTCCTTTTTTTTTTATTTATTTTTTATTTATTTTTTATTGCTTCTACAAAGGAAGATCCGGGTTTCTGATCGTGCATGAGAATGAGATACTGTATACATTAATACTGTTGCTTCTTCTTTGGTTATCTCTAAGTGTTGTGTGTGTGTGTGTGTGTGTGTGTGTGTGTGTGTGTGTGTGTGTGTGTGTGTGTGTGTGTGTGTGTGTGTGTGTGTGTGTGTGTGTGTGTGTGTGTGTGTGTGTGTGTGTGTGTGTGTGAGTGTGCGTGTGTGTGTGTGTGTGTGTGTGTGTGTGTGTGTGTGTGTGTGTGTGTGTGTGTGGTGTGTGTGTGTGTGTGTGTGTGTGTGTGTGTGTGTGTGTGCGCGTGGTGCGTGTGCGTGATGTGTGTGTGTGTGGCGTGGTGCGTGTGTGTGTGTGTGTGTGTGCGTGTGCTTTCGTGCGGGTATATCCCGTGTACGTGTGTATCACTTGTTAGCCACAAGGAAAAATGTGACAAGGAAATTTGTGAATGTTCAGGTCGAATGCATCATATCAATTTCCAGTCACGTACGCCCTTATGCATATGAAAGACAGGACTGGGACTGGGTTCAGGTATTACATGAGAGAGAGAGAGAGAGAGAGAGAGAGAGAGAGGAGAGAGAGAGAGAGAGAGAGAGAGAGAGAGAGAGAGAGAGAGAGAGAGAGAGAGAGAGAAAGAGAGAGAGAGAGAGAAGAGAGAGAGAGAGAGAGAGAGAGAGAGAGAGAGGAGAGAGAGAAGGCGAGAGGGAGAGACAGAAAAGAGAGCAGAGTGAGAGAGAGAACGAGAAGAGAGAGACGAGAGAGAGAACGAGACGAGAGAGGATAGACCCACGGAGAGAAGAGGAGAACAATGGGCGCGAGAGGAGATGAGAGGGGCGTGAGGGGGGGGCGCCCCCCTGCCCGCGCCGGGCAGCGTCGGTTGGATGGCCGGAGGGTAGGGGCGCCGGGCCGCGGGCGGGGGCGGGGCTGGGGGGCGGTCGCGGGGGGGCGGGGGGGGGGGGGGTGGGGCGGGGCGGGGGCGGGGGGGGGCGCGGGGAGCGGCGCGGGCGAGCGCAGAGGAGGGAACGGAGAGCCACAGACCAGACAGACAGACCAACAAGGTACGAAGACACATACAGACAGACAGACCAGTAGAACAGGAGGTCTGAGAGAAGAGAGAGTGAGAGGAGGAGAGAGAAGAGAGAGACGAGAGGGGGGGGGAGGGGGGGTGGGGCGGGGGGCGGGGGGGGAAGAGAGTGTGTGTGTGGCGACAGAGAGAGAGCCAGACAGACAGAACAGACAGAGACAGAGAGTCTGAGAAGAAGAGAGAGAGAGAGAGAGAGAGAGAGAGAGAGAGAAAGAGAGAGAAGAGAAGAGAGAGAGAGAGAGGAGAGGAGAGAGAAGAGGAGACGGGGGGATGGCAGGGACGAGACGGAGAGAGAGAGAGCAGAGCGAGAGAAGAGACAGCACAGGAGTGAAAGAGATAGACATAGAAGATAGATAGATTACTAGAGAGAAATAGACAGATAGACCCGCACCCTGACTGACAGAGAGGAGGAAGGGAGGGAGTACGATGAAAGTGAGTGAACAAATGAAAATGATAATCATAATCATAATGATGATGACGATGATAATTATCACCATGAGATGACGATCACGGATGATGATAATAACGAAACTAGGTGTTAAGTATTCAGAGAAAAGAGAAAAATCGTTTCAAAATGCCGAAGACCCGCATTTTTAAAAAGAATGTGAATTTCAACCGACCTCCTTGCTATCTCCGGATCTCGGATCAGTGGCATGAATCCTATTGGACACACGTGGAAATCCCCATTATCCCCCCCCCTTGTGATGCCATATGTAACAACCCTGCTGGATGACGAAGATTTTCCCCAAGATAATGTTTTATGTCTCTCCTCTCTCTCTCTCTTCTGCGCTCCTCTTCTCTCCTCTCGTCTCTCTTCCTCTCTCTCTCTCTCTTTCTCCTCTCTTCTCTCTCTCTCTCTCCTCTCTCTCTCTCTTGCTTTCTCTCTCTCTCTTCTCTCTCTCTCTCTCTCTTTCTCCTCTGTCTCTCTTTCTTTCTTCTCCTTCTCTCTCCTCTCTCTCTATCTCTCTCTCCTCTCTCTCATCTGTCTCGTCCTGTCTCCTCTCCTCTCTCTCTCTCTCTTCT